TTGTACACCCCATCTTTCTCCTTCTTGTTTGTAACCCCACTCAGAAACTTCAAGCACCTGGGCTCAGGAATAAAGTCACCAACCGACCCAAACTAGACATAGGGCACGTTGCCTGAACCAGTATAAACCATGTGTCATTGAGTGCTAGGCCACCTCTGATCACAACGTACGGCAAAACTATAAATATTCACTAGTTGGTCACATTCTGCACCGACAGTTGGCGCCGTCCGTGGGGAAGACGATGTACGTTCAACACTTTTTTGTCATCGGATGGCCCACTTTTCCGCCACCCTCGCTGTGGTGGGCTCAGGCGATACGATTCGCTTCGGCTCGCTCAAGTTCCCCGCTCCCCCACCGAATGGGATGCGGGTTCCACCCGTCTTCGAGCCATCCCAGGCCTTCCTCTTCGGAAGCCTGTACTTCGTCACCGATCGGCTCGGCGTACTCCGCCTCCACGAGGAGGCTCACATCCTAGCACATGTCGGAGGGGCGCCCTCCATTGACTCTGGGATGCACGACTTCGACGGCGCAACATCTGTGCTTCTTTACGAGCAAACTCTCTGCTCAAACCCCACTGTGAGTAATGTACACGCTGTTATTTACTTACTATTCTCTATCTTCCACTGATTGCCCGGTGGAACCCTGTTGTTCCCGTCGCGACCACTGCACAACCAGTTCCCCTATGGCCTCGCATCTTCTACGGACGCATACGCCCGGGGGCTCCGGAGGATGCCAGCGCCGCCCCCTCTTGCATCCGAATTCATGGGAATGGCGAGCTAAGCTCCCACCTGTTTCCTCGACCTCATGGATGACGATGGTGAGAGTGACGGCTCCAGCATCGGCGACATGGCGCCTAGCCACCGTCCATCCCAGGAGTGCGCCATGGCGGACGCTCTAGGACACCCACCGGAGGAAGTGGAGTCCTCACGGACTCACACCTCACCGGACTCTTGTATGGAGACCCCCGAGCTCACACGGGAGCACGGGGAGGAACTACGGCAACAGTGGCTGCATCAGCAACCGACTGTGCCAGCGCGCTCGACGCACCACGTCGTGCCCCGTGCGCATAGACCGGTGAGCGGCGCTCGGGGTCGCGCCCATCGGGTCCAGCACAACACCATGGACAGGGGGAACGATCCCCCGTAGTTCGCTCGGGCCAATCAGAACATCACCGCCGTGGCAATACTTCTGTGCGGCCTGTCCGAGCCGAATGACCCTCATGAACAGGTGATCCATCGGAACCTCCAGGCACTAGTGGAGACCACCGCTATTCAACAAGCGGAGTGTTCTATATCGCGATGCCGACTCGCGGCCTCGCTCCCCATCAGGGGAAATGGGATGCAGCAGATGGGTCGCTCCACCCGATCGTCGCTATAATCGCCGAGCGCGGCACAGGAGGCCGCATTGGCACCTCGTCTTGACTTAACGACCGCTCCGCACCGACCGCCTGTATACGCGTGGCTCGGACCAAACCGAGACACACGCGGCAGCAACCGAAGTCCTAGCCCTGATGGTCTGGGACCGCGGACCTTTGTCCAAAACCTCCAACAAACGCTGCCCCCGCCGCGCTCCAGCGGAGGCCGGGGCAAGGGCAAGGCCAAGAGCCAGGATCAGGACGAGGGCTCCTCCACACAAAGGGGGGGAAAGAACAGGAAGAATCGCCGCCAACCGGCCAACTCCGCGTTGGTCGCCACGACTGATCATGCGGGCACGTAGCCCCAGCAGGACCCTCCGGGCCACTTCCACGAGCTCATGGAGAGCCCATGCACCAACCATGACTACACCGTAAAACACCTCTACAAGGACTGCCAGCTACTCAAGTGCCTTCTGTGGCAGGCTGGCAGACCAAAGGAAGAAAAAGGCAAAGAAGCAGCGACCGAGAAAGGGGGCGTAGCGGGCAAGGATACGGACGACTGAAGGATGAAGTGATCCGACCGAACGCCTACCGACTGAAGGACGACAATGACATCCTTCTCTCTGAATGCTTGGAACAGCTATGTTGCTTTTTCCCCTAAGTTTTAGTCTTACCATTGTTTACTTAGCCTATGCTCCTATAAAAGCACCCTGACCCGAACACTTTTTTGGCCCGAGGTGCTCGGGGGCTCCACTAGGGCACACTACTACCTCTCTATTTTGTTTACTATCATATGGTGAAATTCCTTCCTACCCAACCAAAAGGATAGTTTGTTCCTTTAATTTTCCTTACGTAGTTTTGCTTTAAACATTCCGACCGATCGCACCCCGCCTTTCCCTATGGCTACGAGTAGCCGAGCCTTGCGAGCCACGCCCTGGGCTCCCAAGGTCACAGCCTATGGGACAAATGGGCAGGTATGAGAGAGAGAGAATAAAAAACAAAATTATGTTAAGGAAAAACTAAGGAACAAAAGGAATAAGCTTCCCCGAACGGAGTGACTCCATTATAGAACATGAAACAGACCGTAGTCATTAAGCACACAGGAACATCTACACAAGGGGCTCCCCCACGAACTTAAATTTTTTACGCTCACTAAACTACTTATATTTTACAAGCTATTGGATCGGCCCGGCAGCATCCGCTGTCGGTGCGACCGACGAGGGCGCGGGCTGCTCACTCCCCGGTGGCACGACATTTGGCTCGATCGAAACCGGGGCAACGTTCACCTCCGACCCAGGCTCCGTGCCATCTGCAGGCTGGGTAGCGTCCTCCCCACGCATGCATCTGGCCATGTCTTCACAACGGACGTCCATCACCCACTGGGCAGAGACTTGATCTGCCACCGACCTTGCGTGCGGCCGCAAGCCCTCCTCGATCGACTAGATGTCCTCCATGCTCAAGCTTTAGCATACCCACTGCAGATAGCAGCGAAGTCTAGGTTTGGGTGGTGCGTTGCCACCGAAGTCAGCACCCTCGACGCTCCATAGAACAGCCCACTCTTGATAAGGTCCCAAACCGCATCTGGGACCTCCGCCAGCTGGACGGTGGGAGCGCTAGTGCTTGGCGCCGACCCGAAGACTTCCGAGACGACCAGCTTGGCAACGTTGCAGATTTGGTCAAGATCCCCCTCGAGAGCACGCCGCTCTTCATGGGACTTGGCCAGTTCCGCCATGTTCCGGCTGAAGGTCACCTTGATCATCTCCAGGTCCTGCTCCAGCGTCTTCACCTTTCCACCCAGCTCTGAAAGAAGAGCGACAAGCTCAGAAACAGGCTGAAGGAAAAACCAACACAATGAAAAATAGAAAAGGTACATACCGACATGGAAGTCCTCAAGGGTGGAGAGATCCTCTGCCTACCGGGCCACCTGCTCGAGCAGCCGGCGCTCGCGTCCTCCGTCCCCATCACCCAGCCCTAGAGCGCGAGCACCTCCTGGTCCGCCTCCGACCGGGCCTTCCGCTCCACCTCCAGGACCCTCTTCTCCGCCTCCAGGGCCTTCCGTGCCGACTCTAGGGTGCTTCGCTCCGACACCAAAGCGGCCCGCTCTGACTCAAGGGCCACCAAGGACTCCTGAAGCGCCACCTTGGTGTTTGCTAGGGATGTCCGCAACCCCGCATTGGTCTCCGCCTAGCGGGCCTTCGCCGCCTCGAGCACCTACTCGGTGGTAGTCGCCCACTCGGCTGCACGCTGCCCCTCCGCCCACGCCACGATCACCTCGGCCGCCCGGTCCTGGGACTCGCGACGAGCGAACGCTAGCTGACGCTCAAGCTCAGCCATCTGGGCGTGCTCCATTAGGAGAAAGCAGGACTTGTGGGACGACATCCCCTTCAGACTCTATGAAAAACAAACATGCTAAGGCAACCAGCAAAAGATTCAGAGGTCAAGGACAAGTACGCAAAACTCACCTCCGCGGTGAGTTGCAGGTCGACCTCAACTAACTGCTGAGCGGACTTAACCCGCTCCTAGGCGTCTCCGAGCTTCGTGGACAGGTTGGCGAGTTCGGACACCGTGGCGTGCCCTTGTTCCCCAAGGATGTCCCAGAGCAGACAGTCCTGGGAATCTCGGAGGACAAACCACACCTTCGTCGGGTCCTCAGGGCAGGGCCACTCCAGGTCACCCTTCGACAGCCCGCCGGAGGGCCCAGCCTCCGACTGGACCACCGCCAGCTCCTGCGATGACATCGATGGCTCCGCCATATCGTCCGCCTCATCATCAGATGGGATGTCCACCACCTCGCTCACGTGGAACGCCGCCGGATATTCCGACTCTGCCCCAGCCGCGCTCTCCCCCAGCGCCTTCGGCTCTGACCATGAGGGTGAGCCGTGCAGCCCTCCACCTAGCGAGGCAGGGTGCTCGGTCTCCCTCTCCTCTTCCACCGCGACCGGTGGAGGAAGGGCCGCGAGGGTTACTTCTGATGCAGCCTCCGCCATCGGCACCAAAATCACCACCAATGCCACTGCCGCCGTCACTGTAGCAGCAACCGCCCCAG